CTCCAGCCTTAACCCATGCAGTTGACTGGGACCCAACACTATCTCCTATCACAGTTCCCAGAGAAGATATGTGTCTGACCTATATGAGTAGTGAACCACCTTATATAGCCCTGATCCAAGCCAGAGCACTCAGATTCAATCACTGGAAATATGAGGAAAGAGACAGACTAGTTTTATGGAGCTTCTAAATTGTTAGATTGTAAGGACTAAATCTGATGATGTCCATCACTTCTACAGATGGGGAAAGCCAACCTGACAATAAATGGGGGAAATAAAACTAACAGATGTAAAAAGTCAGCTCCAATTAATAACATCAGTACTATTAGTCAATGGTGGCAGGCATGTAACCAAATCACAAGAAACATATTTAATCAAGTAGGTATTAATTGTCTTCATTTTACAGAGGAAAAAAATTGAGGCACACGGAAGTTAACTTTCCTATGACCTCCTACTTAGTAAATGGCAAAGCTACAATTCACACCTCAGTATCTCTGAGCCCCTTAACCTCCAGGCTGTACTGCCTCCCAGCATAATTGATTTCTGACCTAGTAAAGAACATACCTGCTATAAATGTTAGTTAAATAAAATGACACCTATTCTATTAAGGGCAATATTGTGCTAAGATGTGTTTTGTAAGATGCCCTAAACATGTAAATTGGTTCTGGAAGCAATTTAAACTCCTTAGAAGAAAGTTCGTATTTATGTCTGGATGCTAGTGCTAGCAGCAACCACCATGAACAGAAGGATCAGCTCTTACATTCCATAATAGTTTTACAATTGTCATCGATTACTTCCAGGGGTGGCATTACTACTGCCACCCCAAATCAAGACACTTCTTAAGTGTACTAGATGATGAGGGAGAGAGAGGAATTCATCTTCATTTTTCTCCATGGGAAATGCTATGTTATTACCCAGGGTCACTCATCAATTCAATTTAGCACTAGAGAAGTTCCCTCTACACTCCCACAGCCAGGCTTCAAGCAAAAATGATTAAAGAGAGAGTCTTTCAATTAAGCTTGTGGAATAATCCTAGATAGCCCTATGTTGTTATGTAATTTGAAGCAACTGATTTCCAGGAGTGAGTCCAAAATATATTGCTTTGATTGACACCTTTTCTGCCAGCCTCAGGAAGTTGCTCAGAGTCAGAAAATACAGACCATGTGGCCAGAGACCAAGAGATTTCATCAACAGTCATGTGCACTGTGCAATTTACAAGGTCTCATGCCTTCTCTGGAAAAACCAACTGAGCTTAAAGATCTCAAGGGGGCCATCTGCCAAGCCCAGTTGGAGAGAGACACACACAAGCATGGTGGCCAAAAGACTCTTGGGTTTTCTCTACTCATCTGCCTGAATGGGCTGGATTTCCAGGGCTTATAGCGCTAGCCCAGAAAAAAATTCCAAGAGGCAAAGGCAATGGAGTCCACCGAGTTAGTAGCTCCTGGGCTTTGAAGCTAGATCTCCTGCATCTGAATCTTGACTCTGCCACTTTGCACCTGTGTGCCCTCGGCTCAATTACTTAACCTCTCCATGCCATAGATTTCTAATCTGTTATGGATGATAATGCAAGGCTTACTTCATAAAATTGCTCTGAGGATTAAATAGCTTACATTTGAATAATGCTTATCACAATGTCAGGGCTTGAACAGAGAAACTGTGCCTCTCTGTTCCCAAAGGCAGAAGGAGGGGTACCATTTATTTCATTTAATGAACAGATTGATTAGAATCAATACACAATCATGTGCAAAGATTTTATAAAGATAATGATACGACCGTTATAAGGGTTTTGCTAATCAGGCTTACAGATCGAAGACCCCCATTCCAAGAATAGGTAAGAAAAGTTTCAATTACTACCAGCCAAAGTAATGGTGAGATCTGCTCACCTCACAATGCAGTACATAAATAAGATCTTAGTGAGCTAGAAAATACTGTGTACCCTGCACCACTTAAGATGGGAGATGCTCCCATCTCAGTTCTTTTTCCCTGTCTTATCATTTTAGTCAATGTTTTTCTTTGCTTCTACTGGTTGGAACAAATTTCCACCCAGTCCTCCATGAATTGTGACTTTATACCTTCTATAGCCAGATCCACATGCAGATATTTTCAGCCACCTGGAAGCAACACTTGAGGAAAGATGTGTTCCTCACACTTTCTCATTGGTAAAGCACCAGCTCCATTTCCAGGTTAAATTAGGGGGAACCGCATTAGTTTATTTCAGCCCTTCATTTATTTATTTATTCTCTGAGGCCTTTCTATGCACATATAATCCCCAGTAAAGCAGAAAATGAAAAAAAAAAAAGACATGGACCCTGTTTTCAAAAAGTGACATTAGAATTTACAGGTAAAACACATGAATGTGCAAAGTGTCTCATGAATAAGGGACAAAATGAGTAAGCGAGGGAGAGAAGAAAGGCTGATGAGAGAAGGAAGATGCAGCGGTACCTAGAGCTGAATTTCCGGAGAAGGGAGAGGCCCATTTAGACACCAAAGCAAAGCTCAAGACATTCCTGAGTGGGAACAGCGGTGAAGAGGTGAGTACCTTCTACATACCAGAAACCCTCAATAGTTATGGATGTCTCTGTGATTGGGAAGAAGGATGTCCTTCCATATAGAAGTCTCTATGTATTATCTTTGAGCCAGTTTTGTTTGCAAATGACTCATCTTTCCCTTTTCCAGGCAGTTTCACTAGTGGAAGGAGATTTATCTAATGCTGTTCTCTGGCTTTCAACTCCCACAGGAATCTTAGGGCAGTGCTTGAAAATGAGAAAGATAAAAATGCATTCCTCTTAGAAGTGAGAAAATTGGCGTGGTGGTGGGGAGCTATAGGTACATGGAAGTCCCAAGGCTGATGAGAGGCAGTGTAATTTCATGAAGAGTAAAGGGGAGATGACTTTCACTATCCTAGTTACAGGAAGCTCACTGGCTTCTAAAAGGTCATTGTCCCAGTGATTCCGAATGATGTGAACAAGAGATACTCAAACTCTGGTCCGAGCTAGTTCTACAGAGCACTGTTTATACTAGCAAAAGCCGGGAAACAATTTGCCTGCAGCTTTTTCTACAGGCAAATTAGGTAACTTAAGGTCGGGCAGAATTACATCTTGTACAGAAGTTAGACTGTAAATTCAAAAGGGATTGATAAGTAATGTCAAAATTACACAAGAATACTTTGTACTTTGTTCTTACTTTGCCAAGATCTAGGCCCTTAGAAACTCAAAAACTAGAAGAAACTTGCATTGTCCCTTCTTTTCAGTCAGAGTCACCCAGGGAGGGGGACCACCTCTAGTTTTATCGGGGGGATGGGCTCAGGTGGTAAAAGATGTAGTAGTAGCAGCAGTAATACTAATACTAATACTAATAATTTCTAA